GGTTAATTTTTGTGTAAAATTTTTTTAGACGATCTACCTATATGAGAAATGATCTACGTTCACCCTACCCTTAAATAAACCTGGAATGCAAAATTTTTCAAAATTTTACATATAAAATTTAGGTGCGTCAATCATTTGATCACATATTAAAAATTTTACACACGTGATCTGCACGACATCACGGCTGACTGTTAATGTCTTGCCTTATTTCATCAGAGAATTGTCGATAATAAGGAGCAAAAGTAATAGTGTCAGGATGGATCTCGTAATTAGTATGTTCAAGGTGACATGATGTAATTTGAATTACCCTGGTTGTTTTGGGGCAGGTTGCGTTGACTAACCATTTACACCCTAATCATTTCGTATGTGATTGTTTTTGATTTTCAAGGATAACTGTCTTCTTTGAATAACTCACACCCTGATGTTCATATGCATAACAACATCTTCTTCGAATAGTATCATCATACTCAGAACCAACAACAATTGATGCAAAGCTGTTTTGTCTTGTATATAATTTAGTATACCGGTTAAGTTGATCCCAATTAGGAAATGTTAAGCCTGGAACAATATCAATCTGCTCTTCATCTTTCAATTCAATATATATGTCAAAATTAACTGATACATCATCCTCTACATCACTCATAGCTGAAGTATATCGTTGGGGCGCAACTTCTAGATTATGTGTTAGTAAAACCTCCTGACTTGACATTGTTCACAAATTTTGCGGTTGGTATTTAAATGCTTGTAAAAAAAAAAGTTGTTAATAAATGATTCTAACTATATAATAAAATTTCCATATAACATCCGATAATCAAGTTGTTAAACAAAACTTAGGTACCTTCGTTACTGATATCTGGTGCGTAATCTACTACTGGTATGAGTGCTACTGCAATCTACGATAGTACTTAGTGCACGTAATCCACAACTAATATCTGGTATTACTCTAATCTACTGACTTTAATAAACTTTCGCTACTAAATATGCAAGAACATCTTGATCAAAGTATATATATGTTGTCGCTCCACTTTAGTTTCTTTCACAGCTGACTTATCAATATTAATAAACTGAAATTTAATGGTTTATATTCCACCACGATCTAGCTTAAGACTTCTGCTACTGGACTAGTGCTTTTCTTGATCCAAAGTATATGTACTTAGTTTATATTCCCTTTTACAAATAACTTTATATGATTTAGTTTAGAACTTTTCAATTGAACTTTAGATAAAGGTATATATAGGGTTTTTATTTAGATTGAAGTTTCTTCATTACAAATGACTTTGTGAATTGAATAAGCTAACGCATTAAGGGTTATGTGATAAAGTGCAACTATGATTTAGTTTAGGAGTTTGTTAGTAAAGTGGGTTTATGTTTTTCTTGTTACAGTAAAAAAAACTAACTTATTTGTTTTTTTCTATAGATATATTTA